GTTTTCCCTTTTAAATAAATCTTTGGGATTCATTTCCCACTGTGTGTATCAAAACCCATAGATTCTACCGACATGTCCAAAAGACACCACGCGGTTCGGTCTATGGGTCATCACATAAGTGTTCCCCTTGTGTGATGGGTGGTCAGTAAGCCYTTAAAAAGGCCGAAAGCTCACAATAGATAACTCTATTATTATTATTATTTAAAAAAAAAACTGGAATTATTAAATGCATTTACTTACCTAAGATGGATTCAAATATATTAAAAGTATATAATATCTTAATGTTATATTTCTTAATTTTTCATAGAATCTGAATTGAACTCAAGTGATGACCATGATCCAGCATTGAATAAACTTAAACATGCCTATAGTTTCATGAAAACAAATTTTGGACCGTATCAACCAAGAGACTGTAAATTTCTTAAGGTTAATGGTAGGGTATTCAGAGTTGAGTTGTATAGTTTATATAATTTGTAAGAATATAGTGTAATAAATAATTCAGCTTACTGTTTTTATAAGCATTACTTATAGTAGTTTTCTTGTATTTTATTTCACAATTTTAGGTATTAGCTCTACCACATTTACCTGCACACAGATGCCATCCTGATTGTTCTCCACATGATATTAATGATGGTTTCAGGGCTATCATTAATTATGTTCAACTGTGGCACGAACCCTTACTGCCAACCTAGAGCCATCGACCGATCCGGCTACATTTAAATAATTTAATAATTGTGGCGTATACCCTACCACGGCGTATCCAAAAACTTACCTCCTAGGCACTGCACCAATCCACGAAGGAAGAGGACACGTCATAAATTTAATAGAGATTGGATATTCAAAAAAAAGGAACACGCAAATACTGCGTTTTAGATACGGGCACAAAGCGCCGCCGTACTATTCAAAATAATAAATAATACAATAAAATATAATAATACAATACAAATAATCAGATTTAAATATATAAATATATCTGGGCGCCCATTTAAAAAAAAAACTAAACCAATTTAATAAATATAAATGAGGCCTTGATGGCCTTAAGTAAAATAATACAATATATGTATATTTATGATACAAAATAGTATGTACATATACAATCCGCAATGCAAATGCCACTCGATGCAACCTCAACGGTCCAAAATACCCGTACTCAACAGACGAGGTGGAGGCAAAATGGAATCCAAGTCAAAATGACACAACCAGCAACCACGTTGACCGTTGGCTTGGTTAACAATAATCCCACATTCGCGGATGACGGTAAAATCAACGGGATACGACGATCCCCGTCGCCAAGCTCAAGGGGAGAGGATGTATATAATGCACCAAAACGGATACCAAGATCAATTACTGCACTCTTCCTTGCACCCWCTGGTAATTTGCATCGGCGATCATTGACCAGCTACCACTGTCGGGTGACAGACAAGTATCCGTCAGCAACACTGTCCAACTGTCGGACGACAACTGATAACTCATGTCGGGCTCGCCGGTGACACCGTCACACACCGGTAAAGATAATGTACGAGCGGACGAGTGGCGAGTGGGGAGTCTAGAAGGTTCTAGAACGATCTCGACTGTCTTAATGACCGGTGATCGATCGATAAAGGCTATAATAGTGTACGTAGTTTATACATGTGTATATATATTATATATATGTGCATATGTGTATATTGTACCGATATCCGACACAACAGTTTCCTGACATTGAGGAACAATTGAGAACTTTTCTCGTTGGATATGTTGATGGATACTGGTTGACTCAAGTTGGACCTAGTATTTTGAGTATTTTTGGGTGTGAATATAGGACCAATAACTATTTAGAATCGTTTCACTCATCTTAGTATTTCATACTAAAAGCCTACAATGAATATTAAGAAACATTAGGCAATATTTTCTATCCATTGGTAAAAGATAAAATATTAATGGTGTAAATGATTTTGAGGTAGTTACACGCACAAAAAGTGTTAAAACATGTATGGACTATGGAGTGTCTTCTTTATCTTATATTATATTAATTTATTAGATTCTATTTAAAACCTTACAAGTTTATATCCCATTGGCATAGTATAATGATTCCATTTCTTGAATATTTCAACAGCATTGTTTTCTTTGATAAAGTTCAGCCGAAAGTTGATGGTTTTCCTATAGATGTCTTTAATTTCAGGCCAAGTCAAATCTTTGTCATATAAATATGAAGATATATTTTCAGAATCAGGTTCACTAGCTATATAAATAATAATTATTAAAATGATTGGCATAGAATTTTAAAGAGGGTAGTTTGTTATGCTACAGCATAGCTATAGACTATAGTTAAACTTGCTTAGGCTTTAAGGTATCTTTAAACAAAGAAACATTCAGAATTATGCTTTTCTATAAGTCTCTGTAAATGCAATATTGACCCWTTAGAAAACTGACTTGAAAGTAAAATTTCAATAATCTCAAGGAAATTTAAGAAAAAWATCCATATAGTGTCATCTTCCGGAATCAAATCACCTACCATTAATGAAAAATAAAAAACAAACGTCATCATCTCTCTGGCTGACATTTTCAAGTGGAAGTTTTTTAAGTGTGCTTGTTTGATAATAGGTAAAATATTGCCAATTTCTATAGGCCCATAATTAAAATTTTGTTTTCTATAATTTAATAATTCTAGTGAAAATATCTTAACAACATCAGTATAATAGTTTATTATATGGCACATATTATAATGGCAAATTCCTTCGAAAATATCATGCATTAAGTCAACACTATAGTTACTTGTAACATGAAAGGATATTATTTTATTTAAAATTGATTCTTTATACACCCCTGTTTGCTTTGAATCATTAACCCTAACATCTTCTGCATAATTTATAGAATTGCGGAGTAATAAACTATTTTCTTTGAATAGATATCGTGTTAAAGATTTATCAGCTTTGCAAAACCTACAAAAGTAATTTGCTGAAAATGACTTACTAAATTCACAAATACTATTTAATCCCAAGTTGTCACCAAGAAATAATCCCAGTATAAAATATACGTTTTTGGACCACGTGGAGTGTCAATAACAATACCATTTACTTCTAAATCATTTATTTGGTATATTAACTTATTCAAACACAAATCATTGCCAAAATCTTTAATGTCTACAGCTTTTATTAAAGCTGCCAAATATATATTTACAAGTTTTGATTGATCAGTCAGAGGAAAACTATAAAAATTGCTGAAATCGAATGAACCGAAGCATGGGAACCCAATGGATTGTTAATCTCAAAATCATCTATATACATAAAGTAGGGGATAACAATTTTATTTTGATAAGGCAAAATTTTTTTTTCCATAACTCTCCTTGAACAAAATGTTTTATTTGTGTTTGGTCACTAGAGTTGTTTATCAATTGTTCATAAAGTGATAAACTATTAGCTAAATTCTCATTTTGTTCAAAAGTTTTTTTGAATTGGAAATGTAACGGTAATAATATACCTTTAGAAGTTTTGTCACCATAAGTTATTTCACCAGAATCAGATACTAAGTTGATTTCTTCATTTATAGTAAATTCTTGAACATTTTGAAATAAATTGTTTCTAATCAACCAATTATTTAAAGAAAACTCAGAATTGCAAAAATTAAATGTATTAGTAAATGCTGTTTTAATTGTTTGAAAAGATGATAGTAAAATTGGTTCTTTTACCGCCTTCTGAGTGAAACTAGTAATTMAATTTTCAACGGGTTCAATTATATATTTTTCAATTTTTCTTTGGATTTCAAAAACATCTTTTCTACTAAAGTTGTKGTTATCAATCAATGACAAGGTAAATTTAACTGCAGATGTATGATATGAGTTATTTAAATCATCTAAATTAAGAATATCATCATTTTCAAAAGTTACTGGACAACTGTTGTCGGAAACGATGGATATAGTATCATTGATTTCTATTGAATCATTTGAGTTGTATAAATACATTCATTTTCAGCATTATTATTACTTAAATTGTTTATTACTGGTATTGGAGTTGGTGAATTAATAGGTTTAGTTGTGTGTTTTCTAACAATGTGTCTTTTATAACTATTTAAATTAGAAAATGTTTGAGTACAATCATATTCACAACATTCATACGAATTGAAAGGTTTCAGTAAATAAATTATTTTATAATGAGCCAATAGTGCTGCAAAAGTAAAACCACTGTGTTTACAAACAAAACAAATCATTATTATGAGTAGGTAGGTACCTACCTCACCACCTAGTACTTGAATGTATAATAAAAAGATTTTAAATATAAGTAGGTTAGGGTATCTATCTAGGTTTTATTTTATTATTATTAGGTAGGTACCTATCAGCCTATTAATCATAATATGATAACTAAATATTATTCTCGCTATTATTTATTTGCCAAAACTAAGATTTTAATTAATACGAGTACCTACCTATGAATCTACAAAATATCTAATAGGTTTTAAAGTAATGTTTGTTGAACATAGTTTTGCTCTATTGAAGGTAAGTTGGAGCTAACCATTTTACATAAAATAACCGTCAGTAACTCAGAACAACAAAAACATATTTTTGATTTGCTAGTTAGAAAAACAAATGGCAAAAGTTTCTGAGCTATTCTAATAGAACAGATTAAGAATCCTTACTAGCAAACACAAGGGCACCAGAATAATGAATAATATGTTACAGTAGGTATACAAATATTTCACTTATCTTATTAGATTGAATTCAATCGAATAGCTTTAGCACTGGGGGAAGCTCTTCGTTTAATCCCGTGCTTCGACAGCACAGTACCAACGGATATTTTCCCTTTTGTTGGCGCATGCGAAATCGYCCTGACAAGTGTCTCCGACGGATGCAGACCGATCTTGTTAAAAGCCATAAAAACCAAATTAYGCGGGAACGCATATGCAATCACGCAGTACCGGGACGTTGAGCAATGGGAATCGCTTAAAACCTTACTAGAGGAAGAATTCTGTGTTCAACTAGAATTAAATGCGACGCGGCAGCGGGAAGGAGATACGGTCAGCAGTTACTCAACCCGTATACAAACATTGTTCCACGAACTCTGCAACGCAAGTGTAGCCGGGAAAATGGTTGCCGAAGCCATAATTATCCGAGAGCACATTAAGGGACAAACGTTAGCCATATTCATCGAAGGACTAAGACAACCCATGAAAACAATAATCAAAGCGGGTAAACTAGCATCATTGGAATTGGCGATAAAAGAGAGTTTGGAAGAAGAACGAGTTTATAAATCCAACAAGGAGTCCCAACGTTTTTTCAACAACCCCAAACCAGGAGGGAAGACCCGATACTGTAGCCGATGTAAAACCAACACGCATCAAACAGAAAATTGTCGTTTTATTAAAGGCACTCAGACGGGAAAATACCACCACTCAACCAATACACAAATGAAGGCCGAAAAGGCATCACCCTTGGGAAAGGGAGAAAGAAAAAAAATTCTATTACAACTTCTGCAGGATTCCGGGTCATGACATAATAGAATGTCGCAAAAAGAAAAGGCAAGAGGGACAAAGTACATCGACGGGCACGTCGGGAAACGATGGGCGCTCGACTGTGAAGGGTGAACAGATGGTGCGCAACCTCAAGCTCACGGCAGTGGCAAAGGAGTCTACGTCATATCAATCGGACTTGTAGACAACCACGTCAAAATAAATATTCCCCAATGCCACCAAGGGTCAGCAAACTTACTATTAGACACGGGGGCTGACCTAAACCTAATAAAACTGGACACTTTGTCTGACAATGTAAAGGTAAATACTGAMCWGACCTATAGCCTGCAAGGTATTCATAAAACACCGGTCACCACGATGGGATCCGTCCTGCTGGACATCCACATTGGAAACTCCACACAGCMTACCGAATTCCAAGTAATACCAATGGGTTTCCCGATACCGCAGGACGGGATTATGGGACGACCACTTCTGGAACAACTAAAGGCAGTAATTGACTGCAATCAGGGAACATTGACGTGGGGGAATCCCACCAACGAGATAACTGTACCACCGCGCAGCCAGGTAGTAATACCATTCTGTACCACGAACGCCGTCGGAGACAACCGAGACGTTCTGATTCATTCCCAACAGCTCGCAGAGGACTTATTTTGTGGTAATGTGTTGAACACCGTACAAAACGGACAGGTGCTGATATGCATAGCTAACTCAAGGGAGGTGCCGATACAAATGGAACCACCTCACTTAAACGAGCTATCACACCAGCTGATCAATGAGGCACCAGCTAAAACTATATTTAGCATACGAAGAGCCGATAACTGACAAAACAGAATTGATCTGTTACAAAAAACACTACGATTAGACCACACCAATAAGGAAAAAAGGAAGTCTGTAGAAAACATCTGTAACGAGTATGCGGACATTCTTCATCATGAAGGTAACATCATCTCGTGCACGGAACACATGAGATCAAAATACCACAGGGCGCACAGCCGATTCACCAAAGACCTTATCGTCTTCCCTACTCACAGCAGTCAGAGATAAATAAGCAAGTAAATGAACTCCTACAAGGCGGAGTAATCACCACGAGTGACAGTCCTTGGAACGCACCTCTCTTGATCGTGCCAAAAAAGGTCAACGCTTTGAGAGAGCAAAAGTACCGGTTGGTCGTGGACTATAGAAAGCTCAACAGCATCACCATCGGCGACGCGTTCCCAATGCCCAACATCAATGAAATATTGGATCAACTAGGCAGAGCTAAGTATTTCAGCTGCCTAGACATGGCTAGCGGCTACCACCAGGTACCCCTACACCCTAAGGATCAAGAGAAGACTGCCTTTAGTACCAACCAAGGACATTTTCAGTTTCAAAGAATGTCTTTTGGAATAAAAGGAGCACCTTCAACGTTTCAATGTCTGGACAACAGAGTACCAATGAGTATATATGGTGTCCGCGCCTTCGTATATCTGGATGACGTGATAGTGATAGCTTCATCGATCCAAGAACACGAAGAGCGGCTCAGGGAGAAATTTGACCGCCTGAGGCAATATAATCTCAAGTTGCAGCCGAGCAAATGCGAATTTATGCGACGGGAAGTAAATTACCTAGGTCACATTATATCTGAAGAGGGCTTAAAACCAGATCCCAACAAAACATCGTGTTTGACTAACTTTAGTCAGGAGTTTAGGAGGTTAAATCCTTCCTCGGACTAGCAGGTTACTATCGAAAGTTTTTCAAAGATTTCAGCCAAATATCCAAACCACTCACCTTGCTTCTCAAGAAAGAAGCGAGGTTCGAGTGGACGGACATGTGCCAACACTCCTTCGAGACGCTTAAGGGGGTCCTTACTACCGAACCACTACTACAACACCCGGATTTCTCTCAACCATTTCTGATTACWACAGATGCGTCAAATTCGGCGATTGGGGCCGTGTTATCGCAAGGACGAGTGGKATCGGATTTACCAATATCCTATATATCAAGAACACTCAACAAAGCGGAGGCAAATTATAATACGACAGAATAGGTATTGTTGGCCATTGTGTGGGCTGTAAAATAATTCAGACATTACGTATTTGGGCACAAGTTCTATATTGTCACTGATCACCGACCATTAACTTGGTTATTTTCAGTGGCCGATCCGGGCGCGAGACTCATCCGCTGGAGGCTCAGGCTAGAGGAACATGACTACGAAATAATTTATAAACCGGGAGTTCTCAATACCAACGCAGAAGCTTTGAGTAGGATACCGCACATACAATATTTCAATTATCGGGAAAATACTTACGAAAACTTTGTACGCAACGATTCTCCGGTAGTTAACCACCGAGTTATCGAGCTGGAAGGAGACCTATTCGAAGCGACGCAAGACTATGCACTAGCCCATTGTGTATCCAAAGATTTAGACATGTCCCGTGGATTAGCCCTGGAGTTCGATCGCCGTTTCGGACATACCGACGTTCTCAAGGGACAACAAAAAAGAGTAACAGAAATAGCACAATTGGAACACGAAGGCCAAAAATTGTTATATCTGATAACAAAGGAGAAACATTTCCAAAAGCCGACGTATGAAAATCTATACAAAACTCTCCAAACCCTGAGAAGCAAGGCAGAACAAGAACTGATCTCACACATCGCGATGCCACGTRTTGGATGTGGGCTGGACCAACTCAATTGGGACAAAGTCAAGGCCATGATAAAATACGTATTTAAAGGGTCACGAATAAAAATAGTAATTTACAGTCACCAGAKATATAGTCCCGAAGTCCCGAAGTCAACAAAGCCAGTAATCACACAGTGAAACAACCTATGGTCATCACAACTACAGCCAGAGTTCCATTTGAGAAAATATTCATGGACATAGTTGGACCAATTACCACGTCCTATAAGAACAACTCTTACATCCTCACAATACAAGACGACCTCACCAAATATTCACTTGCTWTACCGATACCTAGACACGAYGCAAATACAATAGCTAAAGAGTTTGTCGAAAAATTCGTATGTTTCCACGGAGCGCCGAAATCCATCGTAAGCGACCAAGGCTCTGACTTCTTGAGCAAAGTGTTCACTTCATGTTGTAAGCTACTAAAGATAGAAAAGTTTCACACCTCAGCATATCAACCAYAAGCAGATGGGGCGCTGRAACGCAGTCATAGGACGCTTGCGGAATACCTACGTCACTATGTGGACAAGAACCTTCAGGATTGGGACGAGTACATTCCTTTCGCGATGTTTGTTTATAACACTACACCACATTCGACAACGGAAAGACAACCATATGAACTTCTTTACRGCAAGCCAGCCGAAATGCCGAATTCTCTTTCACGCACAGAAGAAGTACGGCACAACTACGACGATTACTGTTACGAACTGAAACAACGCCTGCAACGAGCACACGACACCGCACGTGACACTATCATGAAGAAGAAGGAGAAATCCAAGGCACTACACGACCGGAATGCAAAACCAATTACRGTGCATGTTGGGGACAAGGTGTTAACAAAATGGCATGCGAAGAAGGGCAAACTCAGCGCCAACTGGCAAGGCCCATTCGAGGTAGTCGGACGTACGAATACCGAAAACATAATAATAAAGAAGGGCCGTCGGGAAGTGAAGACGCAMATCAATGACGTCAAACTCTTCAACGAATAATAAACAAAAAAATTCTCCTTTCCAAACCAACAGTCTGGCACAGACTAGCTGGTGAGAATACATGGCTGTTCGTAGTCCAAAACGAAACCATTACAATACCATGTGAAAATGAAATACAGCCTATAAGGTAACGCTAAACAACATTGGGAAAATAARTATCAACCCCAAATGTAAAATATACACAAAAATACCATACTGATTCTCACGCGAAAATTCAAATCAAAAGTCTTCATTGACTTTTTTCCTAATATTCCTCCAAATGTAATTTCAATTAATTTTAATAATACCGGATCCCCGTTGGTAGACGACGTATCTCACATAATAAGGACATTCAGTATAATTTTAAGAATTTAGCTAGAGACGCGGAAGATTTGAAATCCTTACAGGAACAGATAAATGCCGAGCTAATTAGTAATAATAATCAACAAAGACACACTTACACCACGACATCGGTGACTATAATTGTAATAATAATAACTCTAATTATATTAGTTATAATATATTTATTGTATAGAAAATTAAGTACCTATCTTAAAAAATAAATGGAAACCCGGGGGCACCGAAAGTCCTAATGTATTATCTTCAACAGTGAGCACCATACAGAGGCAAACCCTATACCTTGCACAACGACAGGCGCAAGGGCGAAAACCCTATTGCCCGAAATAATTTAAGAAAAAATAAGAAGCACATAGGACAATAGGGCTTTCGTTTAGCCCCGGGGGTGTTGTGAACCCCTGCACGCGCCGCACGGTTATGCTCACTCAGCATAGTATATGTGAGCGGACGTGCGAGTTGTTCACACGATCGTCAGTCTGTAATATTTAGAGCTACGAGTGTGTCATTATTCCGATTTTAATATTATAATGTGTTCAATAAAAAACCAGTAGTTATATACCAAGAGTTGAGTATAATTTATTTAAGGTAAACCTAACCGATTGTGTACTAACGCCTCAGTTCGGAATTACTAGTTGGCTAAACCTCGACAAACGGCAAACCACGAACTTTGTAAGCACAGGTTCAACTGAGCTTACAACAGAGGTATTCAATTTCCTGTAATCCTTTTTGTTGATGGGCACACAAGTCATTTAACATATCATTTAAGTAAATTATGTTTGTAATTAAACATAATTTTAATTGCTTTATATCATAATTTGCGGCCAGCAGATGTTGCAGCATTCAGATCAATTAAAGCTGGCTGGAAAAAAGGTGTTTTTGATTGGCGCGATGAACATCCAGGTAGTGCAGTAACTAAGAATGATTTTTCTCCAATTTTGGATAAAGTTTTGAAAAATACAGTAAGAGCTGAAGTTTTAATAAATGGTTTTAGAGCTTGAGGACTTTTCCCTTGGAACGTAAACAATATTGACTTTAAAAAGTGTTTGGGAAAAAATCCAAATACTGAAATAACTGCAGTAGTTAATAATGAAACTGATACTGGTATGCTAGATTACAAGCAATTTTCAGATATTGTTGGCACTGAAACAATTGACAATAATAACAAATGAGAATTTACCTGAAGAGTTTTTTGTTTTGTATCGATTACATGAAAAGTTAAAAAATAATGAGGGCACTATACATCAAGTTAGTAATGATGCTGAGCAATTATTTTCTGATAATAGCATGCTACCATCTAATGAAATCATTAGCACTACTTCCGACCAGATTCAACCACAAGAAAAATCTAAGAATGACCCTACGCCAATCAATAATTTATAACTTAGAAAAATTACAGAAAATCTAGTTGAATTAAAAAAGTTAAGTATATCACCGATTGAATCTGTTCTTGTATGGCCACTAACACCAGAGCGTAAGGGCACAAGAATTACTGAAAGAGTGCCTTTTGTGATATTATCTCAAAAATGGCAAGCATTATATTATGAAGAAAAAGATAAAAAAAAGAACAGCCGAAGAGGAGAAGAACGATAGAAAAAAGAAGATCCTTAAAAAGTCAAATATTGTGAGAGATATTTTCAAAGCCTCTACAGCTGATGATAGATCTAATTTGGATAAAAATGTAAATAGAATTAAAAAAGCATAAAATCTAATTTAGATGAAAATTGTAAATAGGATAAAATATAAAAATTTTAATAAAATAGGTACTCGACATTTGTTAAGTGTTAAGACTACCAAAAATTCAAAGTCCTTTGATTCAGTAAATGGAAAGTTTTTATTCGTCATTTTAAATGCATGTATTTTATTCAGCGGTACATGTATGGGTTAAAACTTTTAAAAGTTTATTAGATACAACTTTTTTAAACATTATCAAATTAATATATTATAGGACATAGGTACCTAACAATAAAAAGTATTTTAAATGTTTATGTTGTTTGCCTTTGTCATATAGCATTATAGTAGAGATTATATTATTACCTATGTTAAATATTTTTTAGTAGTTATGCATAACTATTGTTATATGAATACAGAACAGGTATAAATAAATAAAACTTATCATGTTTATAACTATTACAAATAATTATAAGTAAGTTGAATACTTACTGTCCATATTTATTATCTTTAGGTAACTCATAAGTCATAAGGCAATTTTATTGTTATTAATTAACACTGATTGTATTTTATATTCGAATGGAATGTTGTTTGGGTAATAATAAACATGAGCTTTAAATTATAACATTTTTTTATGGTTATACAATATAAAATAACAATGTTAAGTATAATGATTAAAATAATACTTGATGTTGTATGGGCCATAGAACCTTACAATTAGCCGATAGAGCATAATTTTTTATAATAAATATTAAAATTTTACATGGAAAATTATTATTATTACCTAGAAGGAAAATATCAAAGTACCTTGGCATGCTTTTCTAATTTTCATTTAAAAAAATTGATTTGCTGTTTTGTGAGTCAATTTTAGAAACATCTTCTACATAAAAATGTACGAACGATAGGAACTTATGTGTTCATTGAATTCATCTATTGAGGGATCTGAGTTAACCTTTTGGCAGGCGCGCTACTGTGTATTACATGAGCAGGCGCGTGTCGTACTTTATACGACAGAATGCTTTTCATATATATTTAATTAAAATGAAGGATAAATAAATAATTTTTAATAGAAATATTTTTTTGTAACATTTTATTCTTATTTATATAATATTTTATGAATTTATACATATTTTTTTTATAATTTTTTATGATAATTTCAATATAATTGTTAATAAAACACAATTTTTTTTCTATTTCTTACTAAATAAAAGTAACACAGTATAACATAATACATTATAAAATAAATAAATAATCTAATTCTAGTCTGATAAACTTTCGTCATTACATGTCTGACAAATTATTTCATGTCTGCTAGAATGCTTCTTACATGTGTACAACTTGCATTTATAGCATATCATTGTAGCAGATGATCTCTTTTTTTCGATCGTACATAAACGACAAACTCCGCGCTTCTTAGGAGGCTCCTGTACATCTTCGACAACGTTTTCCATTTGATATTTTTTTTTAAAAACTGATACATCCATTGGTAATGTTTTAATTTTCGATCTTGAAATAAGGTGTTCTTTCATTAGACTCATAGACAAATTTTTTAGAAAAATTCTACACAGATTCGGTGCATCATTGGGCTTTGAAAATGCATATAAAACTTGTGCGTTTATTCCGGCAATGTTCATTAGACTATAAAAAAATCACACAAGGCCAACGTTTCGTAATTCTAGACACAGTATAAGTAGCACATATTTTATCGACAGTATCTACACCACCTTTTGTACTATTATAATCCATGATTATTTCTGGCTTTTTAGTAAAATTATCAAGGCTTCCCTTATCATGCATCGTAGAAAGTAATATAACAGTTTTATTTTTACAAGGAACGTAAGAAGTGAGCATTTTATCTTTTTGGAAACCAAATATACTGGAGGAAACAGCTTTGTTCTTATGGGGAAAAAACTCAGGAGGAATCTCTCTCTTGTTTTTTTTCAGTGTACCAACAAGAGTTATTTGTTTTTGCATCAAATACTCGGCTAAAGGCATKAACTAAGATATACAGGACTGGACACAGAGCCTTATCAGCCGGTCAGACAATGTTACGCATTACTCCTTTAAGTGGAACTTACGCTATCTGGTGACGAATTGGTTTATTAATGTTATTACTTAGTAATACTAAGTAACGAGTAACGA